AGAGGTGGTGGTGGTGGACTTGGAGCTAAGGTCACCAGCCGGCGCCGAGGAGAGCGGTTCATGGAGGCTTTGTCACAGCTGTGGACTCAGTTTGGCGGTGACTTTGAGGATGAAGAGTACGATGCCGAGCCCGACCCCTGGGCTGGTTTCTACAAGGACTTGGAGAACTTGGTGAGGCAGCGGCCCAAGGATCCGTTGAAGGCTTTTGGCAAGCTCCTCCGGCGGCATGCTGCTGCGGGCGATGGTGGCAATGCTGGCTGGGAAAGGCAGACTGACCCTGCTCAGTGGGCCCAGCACGGCTGGGTCGATTGGTCCGATGCTCAGGATTACGGCTATGGTGCGGAAGGCTCGTCCTGGGAGGCTTGGCCTTCGCAAGGCCAGGACTGGGCGGCTACGCAAGATCACTTTGAGGTGGAGGGTGATGCTGGCGATCATGGTGATGGCTGGCAGCAGGTCTCTAGAAAGAAGGGGGCCCCGAAGCAGGCTATGCCTTCTACGGCTCCTGCCCGGCAGGTCTTGGCTGAGGAGCCCAAACGGCGCCACCGTCGTGGTCACGCTGCTGGGCGAGAGGCTCCAATTTCGGGTGGGCAGCTTGCGCCTGCAGACTGGCAGCCCCGACCGGAGGATTGGGGGGCATCTACTCGGATGGTGAAGCGCTGCCGCGAGGCTATCGAGGCCCTCGAGGCTGATGAGGACGCCTCGCTCATTGCCTACCCGCAGTCCGAGGACGAGCTTGAGCTTTTTCGCACCTTTGTTCAGGGAGCTGCGGTCGACACCGCCTTTGCCGTTGTCATTCTTAAGGGCCACTTCGAGGACACCCGTACAGCCTGCACGGAATTGGAGTGGGAGGAAAAGCGGATCCCGGGCATTTGGCGCAACCAGCTCCGAGTCGTCAATGCGTGGGTCGGATCCCATGGTGCTTCAGCTCCCAAGCTGACTTCGCAAGCTGTGCCGGTGACCGCACCGACCGGCCGTGGTGAGACGTGTGTCTTGCGTGTGCATGCTGATGCGTGTTTCTTTGGGCAGGGGCATTGGGGCCCTGCAAAGGCTCAGCCTGGCTCGGCCTTTCGACGCTGGGCACAAGGTGCTTGTGGACGTGTCCATGATACCTGGGCCTGGGAATTGGTGGACGGGCCTGCTGGGCGACTTCTTGGCATCCAAGGCCTGGTCAGGGTTCCTTCTTCGCAAGTTTCGGCAGT